TATATATATATATATATATATATATACACACATACATACATACATAAACATAGGATTTAAAAGTATCCCTTAAAAGTTCATCCTAACTTTGGAACATATTGAGAACATCTGAATCCCAATTATTTCTTCCAGGACATTAAATATCCCTTCTTGCTTTGTTTAATTGAAAATGAGGTAACCATACTTTTTTACATCATAAATAAAAGGATTGCCTATAAAAAAGGAGTTAAAATTTAAAAAAAGGATTCTTTGAACATTGAACAAAACACATGTGAACCAAGGCTGGGTGTAATTCAGCAGTAGAGTACTTGCCTCATCTGCTTGAAGCCCTGTGTTCAACCCCAGCACTGGGAAAAAAAAAAAAAAAAGGAAAAAGAAAAGCAACTTATGTGAATGAAAATGCCTTTTTTTTTTTTTTAAAGAGAGAGAGAATCCTAATATTTATTTTTTAATTTTTCGGCGGACACAACATCTTTGTTTGCATGTGGTGCCGAGGATCGAACCCGGGCCGCACGCATGCCAGGCGAGCGCGCTACCGCTTGAGCCACATCCCCAGTCCATGAAAATGCTTTTGTCCATTACGAGGTATTAAATTGATATAAGGTTTGATGCTGTTGTTATAATTGTTGCTGGATAAATAACAGCAATAGGTTATTGACTGAAGTATACATCTGCTTTTGATGTCTCAATATTGAAGAATAGCATTCTGGCCTGGCTTTGGAGTGCAGCCCTGTTTCTGGTACATGGTGTTATCACTTCTGAGTTGGTAAGTGTGTGTGTTTGTGTGTCTATATGTGCATTATCATCTAAGGAAAAATGGTAAGAATAAATAGGAAAAGAAAATAATAACCTAGAATGTATTAGAAGTTACTCAGTATGGCCAAATTCACTTCATTTAATTAAGTTTCATGGTAATTCTATAAGGTAGTATGTACCAGTCCCCAGTCACTAATTATGTTTTTAAAATTGTTGGGAATACTTTATTTTTATTTATTTATTTATTTTTCAGAGTAGAAATTAGAAGTTTATTAAAGGACAGCAGAAAAGACTTCTCCTGGAGGAAGAAGGGGACCCAAGAGGTGGAATCCCACAGCCCCTGGATGTAGCTTTAATACTAATGGCACCTGCTTCTGATGGGCTTAACACTGCCAGTTAGCATCATGTGGAGGTTCTGAGATCCTTTTGTATGTCTATTTTGTTTGTATTTGCATTATTGTATTGCCTAAACGTTTACTTTCAAGTTTATGTGAAAGTGCATCAAAATCATTTTTGTATAGTCATATATATCTTACAGATTATATTCAATTGGTACAAGCTTGTAAATGATGAATATTTGTGAGAAAATACCTTCCGATTCACATTCCTGAATTCCATATTTTCTTTCCAAGGCATGACATAACGTGCTGGGATCATCCCTTGCTTTAATGAAAACCGTGGCAAATGAATCTCATCATACCTGACGATTAAGAAAGCAAGAAAAAGGAATGTCTTGTGAGTTTGTTGTTTTGGCATCATTCCAAGGAATTGAGGTAATTGTGTCCATGGTGTTTGGACCCTTGAAGTTGCAGGACAGAGAACTGTGCTAATTTAGGCTCACCTAATAGGCCATCAGTTCTTTAAATCCCCACATTATCACCAAGATCAAGTCAGGGTTGGGTACCTCCAGCTGCGTGCAGTCCTTTATAGTCTGCCCACAATGTCCATATAACCAGGTGTGGTTTTTTCCCCCTTTTTTTCTTTTGGTGCAGTGCTGGGGCTGGAATCTAGAGCTTCCCACAATGCTGTATCACTGAGCTACATCCCCAGTCCCCACATAACCTGATTTTTAAGACAGCAGGCAGTGTACTGTTGTACCATAATTTGCCTCAGGCCTACTCTTGTCTACAGGAAATCTCTGGCCAGTGGCAAAAACAAATACCACCCCATCCCCAGACCCAGAAACTAACTTGGCTTCTAAATTTATATGTGATCAGACTTTCACTGCACATGTATGATATTTCCCTTTGGAACATAAAATTTTCTGTATCAATGTGAAGGAGAAACAATTATTATCATGTGGAACAAATCAGCAGTCAAAACCCCTCAGAACCCTTGAGTCCTCACTTATTAGCAGGATTATATGAATTATCATCAGAGCAGTCATTGGATAAGGTCAGATCACTGTCTTTTCCTGAAGCCATCACTGCCAGCAGTGACAGAATTCTCATCTAGAACCCAATTCACTGACCTAATCTAATGGAACTACTGCCTCTGATGTAACAATGTCGTGTGAATTTCATAGCAAACTTTAGAAGTTACATAAACAGCTGAGAGGGCCAAACTCAGAGCTACTTTTAGTGGTAATTTTATTTTATTTTTAAATCTCCCTTCTTGGGAAAGACATTAACATTTAAAACTGGGAATGCTTGCAGATATATTGCAAATTTGACATGTATTGGAAATACACTTGCTAAATATAAGTCATATTAACATTTTCTATTTGCTTTTGGCTAATTTTCCTCCTTACATACTGCACATCATCGTTGATAAATGTTCCATTTGTTTTATCACCTATTACTTAAGACACACTTTCAGTGTAAATCAAGTTTAAATCCAACCAACTCATTTTATCTTGTGATACTGCAGAATATTTCAGATTATAAAACTCTATAATAAAGTCACAAGTGAAGATGAGTACTTCAATTACTATGACAGAGGCAGAATGTTATTAGTGTAAATCCTACAGACTAGCAAGAAAAATATACAGGAAGAATTATAGTGAGATACACTGGTTTTGTGGGAGTATAAAATGAATACATATATGGGAAGTTTGGACACTTTCTTTCAGAAAAGTTTAGAGAAGAGTAATATTGATAAATGTAAAAAACCTTAAAAGTGGAAGCATTTGTTTCTACATGACAGTAGGATGCAACCCATATCAGATATCTGTGTGGTTTCAAATGTTAAAGAAGCAAATACTGATAAATGAACTGGTACAGTGGATATAAAGGAAATTTTCATGAAGACAAACAGCCTTAGGCATCAGTGCCCTTTAAAAAACTATAACTTTCAGTAGAAAAAAAAATACCAATATTTACTTGAAAATGTGGCAGAAAATACTACATCTTTAAAGTCACCTCTCATAGTGCTGGGGATGTAGCCCAGTGGAGGAGCGCTTGCCATGTGCAAGGTGTGTGATGGCAGGTGGTGTTGGATCACCCCTCATGAATGACTTCAGGAACAATATCCAGTTACATATTTAGAATATTTTTCTTCCCTTGGTTATACCAATTTTTTTTAACATATTACTTTTATTTGCGTTTTTTGTATATATGTGACAGTAGTGTATTCTGACATACTATACATATGTGGAGCATAAGTTATTCTAATTAGGATCCCATCCTTGTGGTGGTTATATCAATTTTATGAAGAGTATTTGAAATTAAAAAATGTCAGAGCTGGAAGTGTAGCTCAGAGGTGAAAGCTCATGCTTGGCATGTGCAAAGCCCTGGGTTCAAACTCTGGCACCAAATAATAAAACTAATTTTATTTTTGCATTATGTATAAATAAAAAACATCCAATAACCACTTAACTCTAAGATCTAATTGCAAAGACTATTTTTTAGATACTGAAAGACTTCAAGTACATTGTAAGGAACAGTTTATAACTGCTGAATTATACATTTTTGCTTAAAAAAATCTACTTGTTAAGCACATTTTTGCTCAAGATATTTTGTAAATTATTTAAGACTTGGAACATTTTAAGTATAACTACTTTTATTTTTGTCTTTAATGAAGACAAGTGATTTGAAACTTCATGCAGATATGACATTTTAGATACCTAACTTCCATAACATAAGGTAAAACAGTCTTAGGTAGGCAACTACTGGGAATTTAAAAAATGTCCATAATATCACACAGGTATGGATCACACTCAGTATCTAGTTAGTATATGACCAAGTTAATTAATAAGTCAAAAACAATGTTGGTCATGAATTGGCATGAACATACTTTATATATAAAGATAGGAAAAATTGTGCTCTATATGTGTAATAAGAATTGTAATGCATTCCACTGTCATGTATTTAAAAAAAAATAAAAAAACAATGTTGGGTGTGGCGGTGCATGCCTGTTGTCCCAGCTACTGGGGAGGCCGAGGCAAGAGGATCACAAGTTCCAGGCCAGCCTTAGCAACTTAGCAAGACTCTGTTCTAAAATAAATAAATAAAGGGTTGGGGGTATAGCTCAGTGATAGAGCATCCCTGGTATCCTTCTCGAGTACCAGAAATCCCTAAAACAAACAAATGAATGAAACAAAATAAAACCCAACAAAAAAGCCACCAAATTCACAACCAATACTTCTTTGAAAAGCTTCTGATATTTATTTGCTTCTGCATAAACAAGAGGGAAGAACCTTCAATACAAACCTTTTTTAAGTCTATCCTTAAAATTGCCTAAGAGTTCTTATAATATAGAAAAAAACAAATTTGAATGCATTTGTAACAGCTTAATTATGTGTGTCCCATCTGGATCTTTTAACGGAATGTTTTGAAACCAAAGCATAATTTACCACAAAGACAAATCAGAAAAAGAAATTAGATTTTTGAGTGGTGTGTTACAATGACCTGGACAAAACCAATTATCAACTAGTAAAATACTCTTAATAATTAGCACATGCAACAGAGAAAATATACTGTAAAGTATGGTGTCAGACATAAGCCATCTTTAAATGTTTCTATCAATTGTATTCATCTCTCCACATATATTAATTTTTATTTAAAACAAGAAACAGTTCTTTTTTCTCCTGATTCTCATGTTTATCAGTGCAAGTAAAACAAAGCAATCTTAATAAAAATGGGTTATTACAATGTTATTTTAGAAAGGTCTATTCCTCAAAATGTCCAAAATGTTCTTAAAAGATGTCCAAATCGTGAGAATGATCAACTTCAATGGCCTCCTCTGCATCCAACTTGGTTTCACCATGTCCTTCCTGTGGCTCATCAAGAGAGGCCAGGGCCTCATTTGTGTCACTTGCAAAAGTTTCTCGTGATGTATCATCTTCTTCTTGAAAATTCAAACTTTTAATGGCTTGTTTCATCTTTTTACCCAATATTTGTGTCCTCCTTTTCCTAGCAGCTTTTTTATTTTCATATTCCTTTTGATTTTCGATGTAGAAAATATCCTATAATAAAAAAGAAAAACTTTAGTAAAACAAAACAAAACCATTTATTAAGATAGTCAATCATTATCTCCATTTCTCACAAAAAATAAGCAAATATTAGTAGACTCAGTATCAAACACAGTCTAGCATCTTAAGTACTGACTGCAAGTAAAGACTGAAGCTATAATTCAAATCCAATCTCGTGTTGGATTTAGGGATCATGCTTATTCCACCTGAACACATCAAGTCTACAGTCAAGTTTTCTAAATGAAAAGATATAATACAAAAATCATGTTGTTTAGAGTTTAAGTAAAATGTAATTGATCACAACAAAACAGAAGCCTTTGGAATAAAGATTCACTAACTTCGAAATGTCATTCTAACTTATGTAATGTTCATGCTAAGAAATCAAACCGTGAGCCACTGCACATGCCTCTAATCCCAGAGACTCAAAAGGCTGAGGCAGCAGATTGCAAGTTCGTGGCCAGTCTGGGCAATTTAGCAAAACCCTGTCTCAGAATAAAAAAACAGGTGCAGTGGCGCATGTCTATAATCCCAGTGGTGCTTCAGCAACAACTAGGCACTAAGCAACTCAGTGAGACCCTGTTTCTAAATAAAACACAAAGATAGGGCTGGGATGTGGCTCAGTGCTTCAGTGCTCCTGAGTTCAATCTCCAGTACCCCCCACCCCCAAAAAACAAAAAAATGAAAAACAAATCAGGGCTGGGGATGTGGCTCAGTGGTCGAGTGCCCCCGAGTTCAATCTCCAGCACCCCCCACCCAAAAAAGTGGGAGAGGTTGAGGATGTAGCTCAGTGGTAGAATGTCCCTAGATTCAATGCACAGAACAAAATAATAAAATATTATATGAAAAAGAAAAAAAAACCATAAAATAACGTGGGAAATTTGATACAGATAACTATGTAGAGATATAGAGAAATCAAACTAGATCATGGATTTAAAGAGAAGGCCAAATGAACTACACTAAGACAGGGAAGGTTTAAAAGGAAGTTGGTATAGATAAGATACACTTCTGAAACCCTATTATCCTCTGGGAAAGGACTCCTAAAATTTGTAGCCAAGTCTGTCCCTATCATTCTCTAAAGTACACAAAGTACGAATGTCTTGTTTATAAAAAGTACTATGGAGAATGGTGAGATAAAGGGGACTCACTCCTAAAATTTATGCTAAATAGTTACAAGTAGCACACATTAGCAAAGGAAGGAGTAAAGAACTTTGAAATAAAGGGGATAAAGGAAAAAGTTCACAATATGAGTGTTCTGACAAAGAGAAAGAATATTTGCTAAAGAAATGAGGAAGGTCGGAGGGTGGAGAAAGAGGATAAGAAAAAGAACAGGAAGAGCTACAAAGGTGAATTCAAAGTAGGCTAGCTATCATTTAGTAAGTGAATATTTTTATATGCCAGTCATCATGCTAAAAACTTCATACATTAACTCATTTTATCCTCACAAAAACTTTATGAGGTAGGTATACTATCCTTTTTTTCAGAGGAAAAAAAAAATGAGGCAAAAGATTACAGAGCTAACATGAGAAAGTACAAGGTCTAAACTCAAAACTGGGGGGGTGCATGTAGCTCAGCTAAGCGGTAGAGTGTTTGCCTGGCATGTATGTGAGGCCCTGGGTTCCACCCCTGACATGGTGTGTGTGTGGGAAGGTCTGAATATAAGAAATTATATTTCTCTAAATTTATATTCTTTTTCTTTTCTTTTTTCTCCTAGTACCAGGGATTGAATCTAGGGGCACTTAACCAGTGAGTTACATCCCTAGTCCTTTTTATTTTCTATTTTGAGACAGGGTCTCACTAAGTTGCTGAGGTTGGCCTTGAACTTGCAGTCCTCCTGCCTCAGCCTCTGATTCTGAGATTATAAGCATGTGCTACCATGTGTGGCTCAGATCTATATCCTTAAAATCTATTTATACTGCCTTAACAAAAGTTTAATAATTTGGCATTTTAAGAGTGTACTTGTCAAGTATAAAGATAAAAAATAAGCTTCATGAAGTATTTTCATTTTATGTGGAAGCACAGTAAGCATCTTCACAGAAAAAATGTCAAGTAGAATAATGCTTGGCAACACAGTAATTTTATAAAGTTCCCCTTTCCCTTCAAAGATGGCAATCCTTTCTTTCTTTCTTTTAATAGAGAGAGAGAGAGAGAGTGAGAGAGAGAATTTTTTTAATATTTATTTCTTTTAGTTATTGGCGGACACAACATCTTTGTTTGTATGTGGTGCTGAGGATCGAACCCGGGCCGCACGCATGCCAGGCGAGCACGCTACCGCTTAAGCCACATCCCCAGCCCAATGGCAATCCTTTCTAAAAAGGAACTTCATTCCTACAGGCTGTGGATTTAATAGAATAAAGCAGGGAATGGCCCAAAGAAATATCGTTGCAACATACTCTCACAATAAATGCAGACAAAAAAAAAAATCTAAGGGAAATATTTCTGCATCCCATATTCACCAAGTAAAGAACCTGACTATATACTGTTTTATAGAGGGAGACTGTTAGGCTGTGCCTTTAAAAAAAATGGCAACTAAACTTTTTTTAATTCATGAACTTTGTTATTTTCTAAAAACTGAAGTAATTACAAGTTCACTCAAACAAAAACAAATAAAACCATAAATGGTAAATGCAAATCATGTTCCATAATTAAAAAATTAAATAATATCAAATTTTGAATTCTGAAAACCCCCCATTGTACAATAATACTCACATAAGGAATTCTCAGGAGCACAAAAATAGTCAAGAATACCTTCTAGCTGTCTTGCTGGCACATGCCTGTAATCCCAGTGGGTCAGGAGGCTGAGGCCCTAGGCAACTCAGTGAGACCCTGTCTCTGAAAAAAAGGATAGTATACCTACCTCATAAAGTTTTTGTGAGGATAAAATGAGTTAATGTGTGAAGTTTTTAGCATGATGACTGGCATATAAAAATATTCACTTACTAAATGATAGTAATGGGAATGTGGCTTGGTGGTTAAGCGCCACTGTTCAATCCCTGGTACCAAAAAACAAACAAACAAACAAAACCAAAACAAAATACCTTCCAGTTCATAAGAAATATCAAAAGATGGAGGAAAAAATGGAAAAAAGTCACAAGGAGATAATCACCAGAACATTAATAGGATAAACTAACATTCTATTAAATAACCATCATTCAAAAGGTCTTAAATGACAAGGGAGGAAAATGCGGGATTAAAAACAACAAAACATGAGGGGCTGGGGTTGTGGCTCAGTGATAGCGCACATGTGTGAAGCACTGAGTTCAATTCTCAGCACTACATACAAATAAATAAAATAAAGGTCCATCAACAACTAAAAAATATATATATATATATATATAAAAAACCCGTATGATAACTGGAACATGGAAACCTATATTGGATCCTGGTTGAGGTGGAAAATATAAAATAAATTATTAGGACAACTCAGAAAATTGAAACAAGGTCTCAATATTGGATCTTAGGACATGCTTGTTGAAATAATGAGGCTGAACATCATGATGTTTGCTACTTATTTCCAAATGAACCAAAAAATTTCAACAGGTAAAGCAGAAATGTCAAAATAAATGTCAAAATGAGCCAAGCATGGCATTGCATGCCTGTAATCTCAGTGACTTGGAAAGTTGAGGCAGGAATATCACTAATTAGAGACCAGGCTGGGCAACTTAAACTCAAAAATTTTTTTTCTGGCACTGGGGATTGAACCCAGTGCTCTTTATCACTGAGCCATATTTCCAGCCCTTTTCATTTTTTATGTTCAGACAGAGCCTGACCTCAAACTTGGGATCCTCCTGCCTCAGCTTCCTCTGTTGCTGGGATCATAGGTGTGTACATTCACACTTGGCTTCAAAATTACATATTTTAAAAAGGGCTGGGGATGTATCTCAGATGTAGAATGCTCTGTGTTCCAGCCCTAGTGGGAGGGGATGGACATGAAACATCAACCATCAATGTCATTGAATATATGGGCATTAATCTTATTACTCCATCTATTCTGCATGTTTAAAAATGTCCATTAATAAAAAATTTTAGGAGGATTGGAAAAATAATTACATGCTAAGAGAACAGGACTAACTGTCATAAAAATAAAAATCTCGATCTTGGCTCTGAAAGGGAAGAAAAAGAGGAGGCAAGCCTTCACAAAATGTACAATGACAAAATTGGTCCATTTAAGGCAGAGCAGGTGATGAAGTTGGAAAGCAAACCCAGAGGCTGAGTGAGCAGAGGTAAAATCACAATGGAGCTTCAAAGCCAAGAACATTATCATTACCTTAATTTGTTCTTCACTGATACTTGGGGTATTTTTCAGGAGATTCAGAAAAACCCCACCTGGTGTTCTTCTTCGGCTACCATTCTACAAAAAATAAACAAAAACAAACTGTGAACTACATACGACTTTTCTTCTTTTTTTTTTTTTGGTCACTCTGCATATCTGTGAATAACTGTAAAAACAAACCACTAATATTGATTTTGAATTTATAAATAACTTTTAGCAAGTAGGCAAATATGCAAATATAAAATCAACAAGTAATAAGGACCAACATATGTGAGTGTGTGTGTACACATGTAATATAACAGAAATAAAAAACTATAATGCCGGCTAGGGATGTGGCTCAAGAGGTAGCGTGCTTGCCTGGCATGCGTGCGGCCTGGGTTCGATCCTCAGCACCACATACAAACAAAGATGTTGTGTCTGCTGAAAACTAAAAAATAAATAAACAAAACAAAACAAAACAAAAAAACTAGTCATTGGCAACTTTAAAAAGAATGAAGAGCCAGGTACAGTGGTGCACACCTGTAATCCCAGCAGCTCAGGAAGCTAAGGCAGGAGGATCACAAGTTTAAAGCCAGCCTCAGCAACTTACTGAGGCCCTAAGCAACTTAGTGAGACCTTTTCTCAAAATAAAAAAATAAAAAAGGCTGGGGATATAGCTCAGTGGTTAAGTAACTCCAGGTTCAACCCCAGATACCAAGGCGGGGGAAAAAAGGGGACTCTCTTTATTTATATATGGTGCTGAGAATCGAACCCACTGCCGCACACACGCTAGGTAACCACTTTACCACTAAACTACAATCCCAGCCCTGGGGTTCTTTTTTTCTTACATTTTCCATCTAATTTGTTGGGAAATCCTGTTGGTGTCACCCAGAATCTGACCATTTTTTTCCATGCCAGAGTTATCACTGTGGTCCTACCCACATTATCTCTCACCTGCATTATTAGCCTCTTAAAACACCTTTACTGCTTCCACCCTTATCCAACATCCCCTTCAGTCTATTCTCAACAGAACTGCTTATGTCATCTATTCAAAACTCTTTAAGAGCTATTTCATAGCAGATGTGATGGCACACACCTGTAATCCCAGTAACTGGGGAAGCTGAGACAGGAGGATCTCAAGTTCAAGGCCAGCCTCAACAACTTAGCAAGACCCTAAGCAACTTAGTGAAACCCTGTCTCAAAAAATAAAAGGGCTCGTGGACGTAATTCAGTGGTAAAGTCCTCCTGGGTGAAATCCCTAGTACCCACCCCATAAATAAATAAATAGCTATTTCATTAAAAATAAAAGCCAAATTCTTTTTTTAAAATTTTTATTTATTTATTTTTTAGTCATACATGACAGCAGAATGAATTTTGATATATAATACATACATGGAATGTACATACATCAATCATATTGTCTATTCTGTTCTGCTGCCCTTCCTATCCTTCCTACTCCTCCCCTCCTCTCCCATCCTTTCTCTCTATCCACTCTAATGTGACAAACTTTTTTTTTCTTTTTCTCATTACAACATCATATATGTACTCTGTATAACAATGAGGTTCTCCTCCCATCTTCTGTGCAACTCCCCCTCTCCCTCTTTTTCCCTCCCACCTCTCTTCCCTATTTAGTGGTAGTCTTCTTCTCATGCTCTTCCTCCCTATCCCATTTTGAGTCACCCCCCCCCCCCTTATATCAGAGAAGACATTCGGCATTTGTTTTTTAGGGATTGGCTAACTTCACTTAGCATAATCTGCTCTAATGCCATCCATTTGCCTGCAAATGCCATGATTTTATTATTTTTTAGTGTTGAGTAATATTCTATTGTGTATAAATGCCACATTTTTAAAATCCACTCATCTATTGAAGGGCATCTAGGTTGGTTCCACATTCTAGCTATTGTGAATTGTGCTGCTATAAACATTGATGTGAAAAGCCAAATTCTTTAAGGTGCAAATGATGCCCCACTAGATCTTGATGCACATTACCTCTCTGACCTTATATCCCACTTCTCTAAAGCACTCTGCTCTAGTTGCAAAGATCCTTTGTTCAAACCAGGTACCAGGAACAGAGATTAGGGTGAAGAGAGACAACTGAATCTTCCAAGGACAAAGTTGAAGACTATCTTCACTTAAAATTCTGTATATTAACTTTAATTTTCGATAATATTGCATTAAAATATCATTTGTCTTGATTACTGAGTTTTTTGGGACTCCATCAAATTTTGTACTCAAAGCAAGCAATAGCTTACTTTACCCTATTTCTAGTCTGCTAAGTAGCTTTTACTTCTAACATGGCTGTTACTTCTACCTGGCCTGTTCTTTTTGTAGTACTGTTTCACATTCTTCAAGTCTTTGTTCAAATTTCTAACCTAACCACTCCTGTTTAATAGTGACGTTCTATTATCTTCATTTGATCAATTTTGGTGTTTAATAGATACTTCCTATACTTCCATTTGATCTATTTCTTTTTCCATGGATATATCACATTCTAGTTCATTTGAAGTTATTATATTTGTCGTTTATAGACTATTTTCCTCTCACCCTCAACTACAACATAAGCTCCCTGTTCTAGAATAGGCCTGGCACATGGCAGTCACTCAATCAATAATTGTTCAAAGAAAGAATGTATCAAAAGGAAGTGAATTTCAATTTGTACCTTCTTAACATTTAGTACATTTGCCATTAGTTCACTGGAATACAAAATTTTATTACTACAATATTGAAATACCCAATCTTTACATAAAAGAACACTCCTCTCCCTTTTAACAAGAAATGCAGTCCAGCAGAAGAAAGGAAATTTCCTATTTTAAATATTTATTTATTTATTTATTTTTATATGGTGCTAAGGATGGAACCCAGTGGCTCACACGTGCAAGGCAAGTGCTCTACCACTGAGCTACAGCCCCAGCCCTCACAGAACCTTAATAGTGACATAAACAGGGATGTCAGTGTATTCATTATTATTAAAATTTGTTGGGTTGTTGACTTCTATAATTTATGTTGACAGGCTAATTCCTCAGCCAATGCTGCTAACTCTCTAATTTGTTTCTTTTCTCTTCATTTCCACAGCATAATATTGATCTACTCTCTTGTGCTGTGAGAACTGGATAAAAATAAATTACAAACCAGGAATAACAAGAGGGAAACCATTCACACTCAGATCTTCACCCTGTGGTGTAAGCTGAATTGAATGAGATCTGCAAAACCATTCTAGAACTGCCACTGCCTGTGATCAGGCCCTGGCCAGATGTGCTCTTTTCATCATTCTGAAACAGTAAACAGTGTTTTTCCACTTTCTTTATTGCTCCCTACCCCAGGAGCTATTTCAGATTTTTTCCTTTTGGTCTCCACCACCCATGTTATTGTAATATAAATGGATCACTGTAAATCTGTCTGGGCTTTATAACATAACAATAGTGAATTTAAGAATGCATGAATCGGGGCTGGGGTTGTAGCTCAGGACAAGAGCACTTAACATGGCAATTTGAGAGGTCCTGGGTTTAATCCCCAGTGCCACTGTAAAATCCTTACTGAGATAGGGATTTAGAAAAGAGAGAGAGAGAGTGAGTGCGCGTGAGCGCGCGCGCGCGTGTGTTCCACACACACACACACACACACACACACGCGCGCGCTTGAATCTTAAAGGAAACACCCACAAGCCACTGAAGGGTTAGAGAGCATAGTTGTAAATCTTGAGCATCACGCCTCTGTAAAATGAGGGAAATATGCAAGCGCAGGGAAAACTGGCACAAAATTGTGCACCCTCACCCTGGAAGCACCTCCAGTCCAGCCCCTAATACAGCCCTTAAATATTGGATCCCAAGCCCAAGTCAGGGCTATTTCTCACTCTAGACAGCCCATATTCTCCCCTGAATGTATATCAACTTCCTAAATAAACCTCTGTTTATGCCTTTGTCTGGTTTGTGCTGAAATTCTTTTCTGTCACATATGCCAAGAACCCTGCTGGTTGGTCCTTAGTTGAGTTCCCTCTCCTTGGACCCTTCTCCACAGACATCTCTACTATCACATCTTGACACAGGTTAATCTTCATTTTATACCTAAGGGAACTGAGACTCTAAGAAGTCATATAATTAAACCAAATTGTAGTTGGAAAGTTGTATTTCAAGATCCATGTTCTCAAAATTCGCACTTCTAGACTCCTGTCTTAAAATTTTAGGTGCTACTTTTAATGAATCATATAGGGATATGTTGTCACCTTCCTAATAACAGATTACAATTTATGTTTTTTTGTAAGGAAAGTATTAATTGAAAACAAGAGGGTGCCAAACTTTTATATTCAGTTCTCACTGTTAATTTTGTCTGAAACACATTGCAATAATGTATGGTAAGTAAGAGGTCCAAAAGAGGTAAGTGAACTTACCTGGGATGAAAAAACCATGACAAACAATTCTAAAATACAAACTGTGAATCAGTCTTACCATTATAAAAAGGCCACCATTTTGTTCGACTTCTGCAGTTTCCATTAGAAGTTCAATTGCCTTTTTGTTCCCAATTATTCTCACTACTCGGGCTATCAGATCTTTCTTTGGTTCTTGTAACCTGAAAAGAAACAAAGTAAATTTAACCTTTTATTTGTTGTTGATGAAATCTACTTTAATCACCAGTATAGCCCTTAACTAGAATCAAATCCCTATTCTAATAACATTTGCTTTTCTAAATATTCAATAATTAACTGAGTCACTGACATGGAAACATCCTAATTTGGGGTCATGCAAAGAGACAGTAACTTCAGGGTTCCATGTCAAGTCTTTTTTTTTTGTTTGTTTTAGATTTTATTTTTTTTAATTGGTTGTTCAAAACATTACAAAGCTCTTGACATGTCATATTTCATACATTTGATTCAAGTGGGTTTTGACATTTGATTCAAGTGGGTTTTGAACTCCCAATTTTACCCCAAATACAGATTGCAGAATCACGTCGGTTACACATCCACATTTTTACATAATGCCCTATTAGTAACTGTTGTATTCTGCTACCTTTCCTATCCTCTACTATCTCCCCTCCCATCCCCTCCCATCTTCTCTCTCTACCCCATCTACTGTAATTCATTTCTCTCCTTCCATGTCAAGTCTTATACTTGACATTTTTATTTGCTTTACTGGATTATGGCAGATTTCAAAATATATATATGCACACGCACCAAGGTGAATATAAGCTTGAGTGCAAAAAAGATAAACCTAAAAGTTGGTTTTCCTAATTCCAGAGATATCTAGGAGCTTTAAAATGGATAAAACAGGGGCTGGGGATGTGGCTCAAGCGGTAGCGCGGTTGCCTGGCATGCGTGCGGCCCGGGTTTGATCCTCAGCATCACATACAGACAAAGATGTTGCGTCCGCCGAGAACTAAAATAAATAAATAAATATTAAAATTCTCTCTCTGTCTCTCTTTAAAAAAAATAAAATAAAATGGATAAAACACATGACTTATAAATTTACCACCCACTAAGCAATTCTACTCCTAGGTATTTACCTAAAAGAAATGAAAATGTATGTTAATGATAGCCAAAAGTGGAATATTCATATCCATCGGACATGGACATATACAGATCTAAAAGGGAATTAAGTACTGATTCCTGTATAACATGTATCATTCTCAAAAACACTTCATTAAGTGAAAGAAACCAATCATAAGAACACATATAAGGTTCCATTTGTCCAGAAAAGGCACATCTGTAAAAACAGAAAATAGATTAGTAGTTGTCTGGGAATGAGCAATGATTAACTGCAAATGGATGTACAAATATGAAGGATCTTATTGGGTTATGGAAAGGTTTTAAAATTAGGAAAACCAACTTTTAGGTTTATCTTTATTTCATGGCATTAAGCACACACCTATAATCCCAGCAACTTGGGGAGGCTGAGGCAGGAGGATTGCATTGCTGAGACAAGCACTGGCAACTTAGTAGGACCTTGTCTCAAAATAAAAAATAAAAAGGGCTGGGGACATAGCGCAATTGTGGCGTACTCTTGGGTTAAATCCCAAGTATTGCCAAACTCCAACACTTGAAAATGAGTGAATATTATCAAATGTAAAATATATCTCAATAAAATAAGAATCACAAATGAGCACTCAATACATGAGTTTAAAAAATGTTTTGTGGTGGGCTGGGGTTGTGGCTCAGTGGTAGAGCACTTGCCTGGCATGTGTGAGGCTCTGGGTTCGATCTTTAGTACCACATAAAAATAATAAATAAATGGGCTTCGTGCATGCTAGGTAGGTACTCCACCACTTCACTACACCCCCAGCCCCAAAATGTTTTATTTAAAGAGCTATACAGCACTAAATAAAAGTTCATGGAAGTATATACAAATTATCCTACCAGGCCTGTCCAAATTTAAGAAAACAAATATATTCAGATAATCAAATAAGCCTAGTTAATTCCATAAATTTAAAAAAAAAAGTCTCAAAAAGGAACATCATTATTAAAGTATTTCGCATTTATGTCCTGTAAACAGAAGATATCTGGTCAAATGTTCATTTATAGGTCAAACTTAAATGCTTACCTGAAAGAAATTTCATCAGCCACTTTCTCTTGAGAATCTTCTTCTGTGATCTCATATCGGCCTTTATAGTTCATTTCTAGTCTGTACCCTACTCTGTCTTTGACAGGCCGTTTCCTTTTCAGATGACCTTGCCCATTTTCCTCTTCCCTTGACTCCATATTTTTGCTGCTGTGCATATATTCATCTAGTTCTTTATCTAGTTCTTTTGTACATTCTTGAGATTCCCTTTTAAGTTTCTTAGCAAGTAAATAATTGTAGGTTTCAGATTGTCTGCTTTTGTCAATAGTGCCCTCCATTCCCAAGATACCAAGTTCAGTGGCCACTGCATCTTGATTCTGTTCCTGTAGTACGGCACCCCATATGTTGTTAACTTTCTTTGCCCCACCAACAAGTGGTTTCTCACTGTTCTGGTCAAATTGAAAAGGCTCCGATTTGGAAGGAGGATTAAGACACTTCTGACGCTTGCGTTTCCAAAGAGAGCTATCATCATCTGAATCAGAAAAACTCTCCTCACTTGAATCCACACTTTTAACAGTCCGATAATGTGACACTGGTACATAGGCTGTTGCAGTGCTCTGGAAGGACCTCACAGCACTGTCCCCATCTAATACTTTCTGCAAGTGAGAGAAAATAGAGTCAATTCCATAAAACATAGCAACTCTACCCACCATGAGTTATTTTTAAAAACTTATTTAGATTCATCTGAAGTATTCTGAAACAAAACTCATCTCCAAAGACATTTCTGAAATCCATCCAGTCCCCACTTTTCAAAAATCCCACATGAAATTGCTGATGGCGGGGGCGGCGTTGCAGGTTAACCAAGGATTGAACTCAGAGGCATATGACCACTGAGCCACATCCCCAGCACTATTTTGTATTTTATTTGGAGATAGGGTCTCAATTACTTAGCGCCTCACTTTTGCTGAGGCTGGCTTTGAATGAGATCCTCCTGTCTCAGCCTCATGTGCACCACTGTGCCCCAGGAAATCTGCTAATTTTAAAGCCATAAATTTAATTTCCACAGCTAAAGCATCACTTTGTTTTAAAAGGTCTCCTAGAAATTTACCAAAGCTCTCAATTTTCACCTTTAAAAGATTTCAATCTTTTCAGTTATGACCAGAATGTGTGAAAATTATATACGCAATAATTGTTACTGGCAGGATTTGTTATCTTTATTTCCAAAGATACCTATCTTAAATTTGGACACAACTTCCCTTATATGGATGGTTCTGTGACTTTACTCCTTTTAGAGTAGATGGTGAACTAAGAGGAAAAATTCCCACAATACTTTCAAAACCACAGATTTCATGGCATTAAGTTAACCAAGTTACAGGCCAATTTATATAAAACAATTCGAAAGAGATTGAAAAACAAAATATCCTGGTTTCAATTTTGTAAGACATTTAGATGCAAAATAAGTCACTTTTTCATTTTAGAATAATAATTGTACAATCTTATGGGGTTTAATATGATGTCTGGACACACCCATACTCTGGGTATACTCAGATCAGAGTAGCATATTCACCAACTCAAACATTGATCATTTCTTTGTGGTCAAATATTCAAAATCCTCTCCTAGTTATTCTCCCCCACCCTTTACTGGGGATTGAACCTAGGATCTTGCACATGCTAGGCAAGGGGCTCTACCACCGAACTACATCCTAGCCTTTTTAAATTTAGAGATGGCTGGCCTTGAATTTTTGATCCTTTTCTTAGCCTCCTGAGTAGCTGGGATTAAGGCATGCAATGCTGCACTTGGCTGCTTGTAGCTTTTTTGAAATATACATTAACTATAGTCACCCTACTGTGCTAGACAACATTTGAACTTATTTCTCCCAACTCTTTGTGTTTGACTTTTGCTTTTTTGTACTAAACACTAAATCGATTAAGTATTTGTTCAACTACTATATGCTAGAAATGGGGGTGGAGGTGATTAAGTGAGTAAGAGGATAGCCTCTCTACTTTCCATAGTAACAGCAGCTAACACTCCCTGGAGCATGACTGTGTGCAGTATGCTTCATCGAATCTTCACAACTCTACTGATAACGGCACCTAAATAGTGAGGCTAAATAGCCCGCGGGTTAGACAGTGGAGCGGCTAGGATTTGAACGCTGGCAGCTTGGCACCAAAGACCTCTCAAAGAGGCTGCTACCGAGGCACGGGGGAATTCACAACAAATTCCCATTTAGAAAGCTGGGAAATTAAAACAAAACCTAGTGTCACGGACACTAGCCTAGGACAAAGCTAGGCTCGGTGGGGAGACTTAAGACCAGGCCCCCTCGTCGTGCAAGGAGCTTCATTCTTGGAGCTCAGTTTCCTAATCTGCTGTGGACAATAAGAAACACCAAAGGTAACGCTGGGTCTTTGTCCCCAGGTTCCACGTTTTTGGCAAATTCTGTTCTTCCAAACCAACCAACCTAACAGCTCTGGAGTGGGAAAGCCGGTTAAGTTTAGAAAAAGAATAGCAGAGCTCGGAAGGCTGAGAAGAGAGGCCGGAGCCGCTGCACGCCCTTCTCGGAGGCCACACGGCTCTTGGGCCCCGCTTCGCCACGCGCTGCCGGCTGGTGTTCGCACGCCCCGCGGCCGCTACCAGCGCCCGCGACCCAAATCACCCCACAGCCCCCAGCCGCCTGGCGCCCCCTCCGAAGCCCTGGTTCTGCGCGCCCGCCGGGAGGCCGTCGCGCTCCCTCCCCTCCCCGCCGCCCGCGCCAAGCTTGCCGCTGGGGCTCCGCCCGCCCGGATTCTTCGGCCGCCGGGATTTGCACTCACCGGCACTTGGAGAGGCCTATCGCTGGCTGCGACCGTCATGTCGGAATCCGAGTCGGAGAGCTGCCCGTCTTCCATGTCGCTGGCTTCCAGCGCCATCTTTCAGCGGCGCGGCGCGGCGGGTCAGGAAAGCACTTCCGGCGGCGGCGCGAAGGCCTGGCGGCGCGGCTCGGGCGCCCCCGCGCGCCAGAGGGAGTGGGAGGGAGACTGCAGCGCGTCCCTGAGCGAAGCGCCTTGCAGCTCAGGGTAAACGAACCCGCCCTATGCCTCCAGCACTCTTTTTTTCCAGACTTTGTCTTTGGGGAAACACAAACCTGTGCGGGAAAGCGGTCGTCTGGGGTTCCTCCCGCGTCCTCACACTCCTTGCCTGGATGCCCTGAGCGAGCCTCCACGCTTCTGTTCTCGCTCCTCCACAGTCCATTCCACCTGTAGCTTTAGGCGGGAGTGAGGGACCGGACGCTAACCCGAGGTCACTGTCCTTCCCGACCTCTATGGGCGTTTCTCCTCATACTAGTTCTCTGCATGGCAAACAAGCCCCAGCAGTCCGGGCACGTGGCCAATGGCGCGGGTCAGTCGCTCGCTCTCCCCAGCCCTTGGTGCTGCTCGGGACACCCTTTATTTTCCGGGCCTGGAATCACCCGCCTCCCGGGCCACCCGCTCCTTACAAAGATTGTTCTCTCACGGTATTCTGGTTTTTGATCAAATTTCACCGCAGAGAGGTCTTAACCTTCTTCAGCCACCCTAAGTAAAACAGGGTAATGTCATTCTTGAACTCATTTCTTCGTGGCACTGGTAGTTGTATTTTTAAATTTGCATTTGAGTTTTCCTTTGGGTCTGTTTTATTCACTCCCCACCTCCCCCGCCATGTCTCTCCCAGTTACTTTGTGCGCATGACAGGTGATCAAGAAATATTTATTAGAGTGGCTTCCGCCTATAATCCCAGGGACTTGGAAGGCTGAGGCAGGAGGATTGCAAGTTTAGCAATTTAGCAGGCCATAAACAATTTATTGAGACCCTGTTTCAAAATATAAAATACTGGCGATGTAACTCAGTGTTAAAGTGCCCCTGGGTTCAATTCTCAGTGCCAGCCACAACAACAATAAACAAAACAACCCCCCAACCCAAAAAAATAGAAATTTGGCATAGTGGGCACACGCCTGTAATCCCAGCTTTTCTAGGGGCAGAAGCAAGAAGATTGCAAGTTTGATCAGCCTCAGCCATTTAGCAAGATCCTATCTCAAAAAGAAAAAAAAAAGTAAAGTGGCTGGGGAAGTAACTCAGAGATAAAGTGCCCTTGGGTTCAATCCCTAGTATAAAATAAATAAATAGGACTGAGAGTGGAGCTCAGTGGTAGAACCCACTGGGTTCATTCCCCAGTAAGAAGGGGAAAAAAAAATTATTGTGGCTGAGAGTATAGCTCAGCATAGCTTAGTGGTAGAGTGTTTGCCTAGCATACACCAAGGTTCCATCCTGCATTGTAAGAAAAGAAAAAAAAAAAAGATTCTGATCCATCTCAATTTATGTCTATGTTGTGATATAGTACCAGGATTCAGCTTAACCAGACCAAAGTCACCTTGAGATTTTACTGTCGTGGTTTGTCCCTGAGTAACCCTCAGTTTCCTAGCATGAATAAAACCATAAAAACATGTGGGGCTTTATGACTAGACCCTGGTACCATCAGCACCAGGAATGTGTCTGACCTCCTTGATATTAGCTTGTGATAAACTCAATACATTCTGACTTGGACGAATTCTCTTTTGTCCTATTAAATAAACCTCCTCTTTTGACCCAATTGTTGGGATCCACTGGTCTTGCTGCCACCTAAGACCATGCTTCTGTCAGAAAGTTCCCAATAAACTGCACTCTGTGCAATCCTGGATGTCAGCCTCTTTCTTTGGTTTTTATAGCACCTCAGCACTGGTTCTTATACGTTGGAACCAGGTTTTCTGGAACATACAGAGATTGTTTTCTTTTTTTCTCCATATGTATCTGTTATCTGAGCACCATTTGTTGAAAACACTTTCTTTTCCCCATTGGATAGCTACTTACTTGTTGGGGAAAAAAAAAATCATTTGATGGGTAGGGGTGGTAGAGCATGTACTTTATCATGAATGAGGCCCTGGGTTCAATCCCCAGCTCCAAAAAACAAATCAACCAACCAATCAACAAACAAAAAAATAATTTGAGCATCTGAGTCTATTTTTGAACTCCCTATTCTGTTCTGCTCTTTTTCTATCTTAAGGCTAGTAGCAGCACACTATTTTAATAACTGTAGCTTAGAGTAAACTTGGATTGAGGTGTTGTTAGTCCTCTAAATTTGCTTTTCTTAGTGGGGTGTCGTGAGGTATGGTGGTAATCCTAGCCACTCAGGAGGCTGAAGCAAGAGGATTGCAAGTTTGAGGCCAGCCTCAGCATCTTAGTAACACTGTCAGCAACTTTGTGAGACTTTATCTCAGAAAATAAAAAGGACTGGGGTTGTAGCTCAATATCAAAGCACCCCTGAGTTAAATCCTCAGTTCCAAAATAAATAAAAATAAATTTGCTTTGGCTATTCTAGGTCCTTTGCGTTTATTTATTTTTTATTTGTTCTTTTTAGTCATATGTAACAGTAGAATGTATTTTGGCCTATTATACATACAGGGAGTATAACTTATTCTAATTAAAATCCTATTGTGGTTGTACATGATGTGGAGTTACCCTGGTAGTGTATTTAAATACAAGGATAGGAACTGGGGTTGTGGCTCAGTGGTAGAGCACTTGCCTAGCATGTGTGAGACTCTGGGTTCGATTCTCAGCACCACATATAAATAAATGAAGTAAATGTCCATTGACAACTAAAAAAATTAAAAAGTAAATAAATACAAGAATAGGGAAGTTATGTCCAATTAATTCTATTGTCCCTCCTATACCCCTCCTGGCTCCTTTCCTGGTCTTTTGCATTTATATATAAATTTTAGAATTAGTCTGTCTAATCAGATGCAGTGGTGCATACCCATAATCCCAGCAATTTGGGAGGCTGAGGCAGAAAGATCATAAGTTCAAGACCAGCCTCAGCAACTTAGTAAGATCCTGTGTCAAAGTTAAAAAAGAATGGGGAGGTATGGAGATATAGTTCAGTGATAAAGTATCCCTGGGTAATCCTCACCACCACACCCATTCACCCACACACAAAGTATATATTTTTACCAAAGAAACATCTAGTGGCATTATGTTTGATATTTTGTTGTATCTACAGATCAATTTGGAGAGAACAGATATCTTAGCAATGTTGGATCTCCAATCCATGTTCATGGTATAGCTATCCATTTATTTAGATCTTATTTCATTTCTCTCAGCAACATTTCATAGTTTTAATATTTTTTTTTAAAAAGAGAGAGAGAGAGAGAGAGAGAGAGAGAGAATTTTAATATTTTTTTTTTTTAGTTTTCGGCGGACACAACATCTTTGTTTGTATGTGGTGCTGAGGATCAAACCCCGGCCACACGCATGCCAGGCGAGCGCGCTACCGCTTGAGTCACATCCCCAGCCCTCATAGTTTTAATATTGTTGGATGTATTTTATTCTAGTTATTCCAAAGTTTTTATTTGAAAAATCATCTTTAAATTAGAACCTGTAATGGTTTAGATATAAGGTGCCCCCAAAAGCTTTTTGTGAGGCAATGCAAAAAAATTTAGAGGTGAAATGATTAAGAACCTTAACCTAATCAATATATTAATCCCCTCATAGGGATTAACTTGGTTTTAATTGTAGGCAGGAAAGGTATGGCTGGAGGAGCAGGACACTGGCTGTATGCTTTTGTCATGGATATATATATATATATATATATATATATATATATATATATATATATATCCATCCATGGGAGAGGAATCTCTGTTTCCTGGTGTTTTCCTCCACCATACTCTTCTGTCATGATGTTCTGCCTTACCTCAGGCCCCAAGGAATGGAGTCAGCTGACTATGGACTAAGACCTCTGAAACCATGATCTTCAAAATAACCTTTTTCTCCTCTAATTTCTCTTTCTTTAAATTTTTTAGTTGTTGATGGACCTTTATTTTATTTACTCATATGTGGTGCTGAGAATCGAACCCAGTGCCTCACACATGCTAAGCAAGTGCTCTACCACTGAGCCACAACCCCCACCTCCTCTAAGTTTTCTTGTTAGGTGTTTTGTCACAGTGGGAAAAAAACCCAAAAAACAAAAAACTGACTAAAAGAGAACCTTCTTACTGAAGTATAATTTACAAAATTTATAAGCTTTATATGTCCAATTCACTGAATTTTGATAAATAAATAAAGCTTGTAAACATCACTACAGTTATGATAATAAACACTTCTGCTATACCAAAAATTTCCCTCCTATTTCTTTGCTACCAATCATCTCTCCCAATCTTCTGGCTCCTGGACACCTCTGATCTGCTTTTTGTCGTCATAGTTTTACTTTTTCCAGTACATCACATATATAGAGTGATTCAGTATGTCATCTTTGTATTTGGCTTCTTTCACTTAGTATAGTGCCTTTGAGATTAATCTATGACTTTATGAGAAATGACATACGGTTTTCCAAAGTGCTTGTACCATTTTGTATTTAATCAGCAATGAGTGAGTGAGAGTTTTAGTTGATTCACATCCTACCCAGCATTTGGTTTTGTCAATCTTTTTAATTATAGTCATTTGTATCAGTCAGATATCTTTAGAGCAAGAGAACCAATAGGATATATTTAGAGAGAGATTATTATGAAGAGATTTATTGTGAGAATTGGCTCACCTGATTTGTGATATTGTGATATTGTGAGAATTGGCTCACCTGGAGACTGAGACTTCCCACAATCTGCCTTCTGTAAGCTGAAGACTCAGGAAATTCAGTAGCATAGTTCCAATTTGACCCTTGAATATCTCCTGGGCTTCTTGTCATGCCATGGGATCTCTCCCTCTCTCATCGCCCCCACCATGACACCATTTACCATGTGAGACAACCAAAGGGGTTCTCACCAGAGCCAAGTCAATGCTGGTGCCATGCCCTTGAGCTTGTAGAATTTGAGCTAAATAAATCTCTATTTTATTTTATTTTTATTTTTTGGTACCAGGGATTGAACCCAGGTACCATATATAT